GTGCGGTGCGGTGTTAGATTTTTGTTAAGGTTACGGCTTAATGGATTTCAACCGATCGGTAGCGTCTTTTTTGCTAGTTCTATATAAAACGTGCAAATCCCTTTACGAAAAAAAGCGCTGCTTTCGATGTGTGAGCAAAATTATATTGTTCACGAATAACTTCGGCGTAGACTGTCAATAAAGGGGAGGGGAGAGATTGGCACACCTCACAAGGTAGACTTTAAGTGCGTTTCCCACTTCTCCCTCATGTGTTTCTGTTACTGCTGACCATTTCTCTTTCCTGCTGCCTTTCTTTATGCATATGTGGTGTTTCCTTATTATGATGGTGAAAGAGTGAGATGACCTATTAAAAAATCCAAAAATTGCGCACTCGGAATCTTTTCTTTTTGATTCATTACAATGCACATCTCGGAAATAGTTTCTTGTCCTTTACTCGACTAGGAGGGGGGGAGCGCATTATAGAAGTCACTTTTTTTGGTAGTATGTTTAAAATTATCACCATAGAAACAGGAAAGCATCATAGTACTTACGTAATCTGATACTTGAGTCAAGGGGTATTTGGAAGTGATTCTCTAAATTGGGTGGTTTTCTGCTTTCAGTTAGCTATAGTATTGTTACCCCCTTCCACGTGAGGAGATTTGAACCCCAACCCTATTTACGGAGCGGGAGGAGGGAGTGGAAAATTCAGGTTTTTTCGGTTTGCTCCGAAATCCTTCCTGGGTCAAGCGATAAGATTTACCCTTGATTTAGAAGCGATCGGCAAGGGTTTGAGATAAGCACGTTCTGAGTCGCATTGCCGCCAACGTGTCAGATGAGGATTCTACGGTAAGGTCGAAGAGAAAGAAACTCATCTGTAGAAAGACAGGCAGGCCCCCTAAGGGAGCGGATCAACACGCAATTCGCAGCGAAGGATATGTCCCCGGCGACCAAGCATGGCCGTCCTCGCGCCGCTATCGACGCGGCACGCCCACCGACTGGCTAACCACTCGCCGCAGGTCTCTAGCCGTTTAGCAGAGAGAGCGTTAGCGTTGAAGAGGGCAGCACCGATGAGAGTCGCATCAATGCGGAAATCAGCGGCAAGGAAGGGTCCAATTTCTCGGGTTCTGTACCGTTTCTCATAGTTTTCTTCATCCCACCACCACTCTACCTTGATTCTAATAAGCTATCTTCTAATTGTTAGCTTCGCCTTCAATAGTACTAATATGCAATATTTATTCATTTTACAAAGATGCCACAGTTGCGCAAAATAGAGTAATTACATTATTTCAGATCTTCCTGCACGTATAGATGAGATTGACAACATATTGTATGTGAAGCCTTGTGGCGAACAAAGGTTGGATTCATCACTGTCAATTTCTGCCATGAATGGATGGATCGATCAGATCGACAAGGTGCTCGTAGCAATCACAACGCGTAACAAGGAGTAAGGCAGGAGTTGTTCCGATGTCCTTCAATCTCGGTACGGTACATGCTCAGTCTTTTCTTCCTGCTGTTGTTCGAGTAGCTTACGATTAGGTATAAGTACTGCTGATAGGTGATGCTGACTTTTTTCATGTCTCCTAAGTCGCTTCCATGGTTTGAATGGTTTTCCCGTTTTCATATCTTGTGTGTTTTCTCGAGATGATCGAAGTCATTGTCATACACAAGTCATCAGTCATGCAACCCGCGTGAACCGCAAGGATTTCATGTTGAAGAATATAACAGTCTTTATCTTCTGCGTCGATTTTTGTCTGGATGTCATTATTGAAAAACTGTGTTTTCTTTTTATCCACTGAGTCAGCTTATATGTTTAACACTAGATCCTTTTCTCCATTTGACGCTTCATTGAAATTTTTGTTTCCATAGCTCGGTTTCTTTTCAATATACGAGTATACGCGTACATGCAACTATTGCCTATACGTGTTCATTGTGCGATAAAGTTTTTTCATCATATCATAGCTTACAGTTGAAGGAAGCTATCCTGTGTCGTTTCTATGTTTTGTTGCAAATACCTTCTGAAGGGTTAGTAAGGGATTGCTAATTTTAACCAGGTGGTGTGAGTAATTCAGATGTCAAAGGACCAGCACGATTTGAAGAGAGAGTTAAATGAATTGATCAAAAAACGTGCTGAAATCGTGTGTGAGTATTAATTTACTTTTGCTTTCACCTTACATGATCACGGATCATGACATGCAAGTGGCACCGTTGCGCGCTAGTCTCAGTGATTGTTTCATCGTAGGAACTCATTGTGTTTTTTCATGATTCTAGCAGGCGCGCCCGAGCCGTATACCACTTCTATAACTGCAGTTCTAATGTTTTACAAGAATCCCCTTCTATAGCAAAGCGGAAATAAAGTAGCTATTCAGGAGACATTGGAGGCACTTGAGAATCAAATCTACAATTTTGAAGGATCGTATTTGGAAGAGACGGCTGAATATGGAAACGTCATAAAAGGTACAGAATGAGTTTCTCGCTACGTTCATGGGGCCGGATTCATGGGGTTGGGGACAAAACCCACTTAAAATTATTTGTTTTTTTAACAATACAGTTGCTTCATTGTCAAATGTAGGCCCTCTATCAGGACAATCCAAGCTGAAAAGACAGAGAAAGTTTGAAGGAATTCTCGTCTCCCAACCCCTGGGGAGGATTAGATCGGGCCCATGGTTCCACCTGGGTCAAATTACTTTGCCCTTCTTTATTCTTCAAGATTATCCCTAAATATCTTCCAAATTGGGTGAGCCACATGTAGTGGAAAAGTGGGTGGAATGACGAGATTCTAAATTCTCACACGTAAAGCCCAGCCCTCCCATGAATACACTGCTGCCCTATTCAATGCCATCTTCTCTTCCCTCATTGTGCCAGAAACGACAAGGATTCTGTAGTCTGCCTTTTATGTTTTGAATGGTGAGAAGACTTCTGACTAACACTACCGTCAAAGTATGAGAATCAAGCAATGTCTTTGCGTACATATTGCTTACTCCTAATCCTGATCGGCCACTTTTTAGGATGGGACCGTTATGCGCTAGCTATGCCGCCTTCAAAATCAGGAGTGAAACTAGAGAAAAAGACGTTGTCTCGAAAAACTGATCGAGAAGCAGATAGGCTGTTCTCTTACTCGTCGGTAACGTCTCCAGCAGCATTGAAACACGCCCAACAACCACCTCCTCCAAGTATAACATCATCTGGAGCTCCGTTGACTCCTACTATGATGAGAAACGATGTGATCGAGGACGAAGCGGTCAGTGATGATTTAGCTTATCGTAATTTATTTCTCTTGCTTTTTGAAAGACCTGAATTTCAGTCCCGTGAAATGAGACGGTCAAAGAAACGAAAACTGGAAGAGCAGTGATGGTCAGGGTAGAGCTGCTGTATTGATAACACTTCTTGATATCTATTCAATGGCCTTGATTTCCGTTTAAGCTCGAAATAGAGTTTTTCTTTTGAAACTAAAATGTATGCAAAATGTGAATTCATTAGCAACTAAAACAGTTCTTGAGAGCAACTAACAATTATAATAGTAGATCTCTTTACTCCGAAACATGATGTTTGTTTCGATGGTGACGTTCCCATGTACTGAACTTGATTACTTGTACTAACACTCAATCAACAGGTGTTTTAACTGTACATTGCTAATTTGTACTGAGATGTTGTATCTTTCACGATACACTTTTCGTCATTAGATGTGCAATAAATTTCTCACACTGATCGTTTTCTTTAACGTTTATGGTGAACACTTCCATGATATTCTATTTTTTCTTTCCATACATTGGTCGATCTCTTTGGTGGTTTTCTTCCCCAAACCAACAATATGGTGTGCCTCCCTTTTTCTACATCTCATCTCTCTCTCAATGGATCATGGTATCCACAACTGCTCCGTTCTATCTGTAGTCCCTATTCGTGGTGAATCTCTGGATTCAATTCATCTAACTAGGTTTATGGATAGCTCAGCTAGTTTCAGGCCGATCCTGATGCGTACTGCTACTTCGCAGGACTCGTTTCTCTATGTATATAGCTGTGACCTTACTGCCAATTTACAGGTTTTTGTTGATATCACAGTCTTTTACTAACTGACCAGCATCAAGGCCATGCATGATTTAGGTAAAAATATGTGACTTCGAAGGGAAGTATCGCGATCCACACAACCCAATTAGGAAGCTGCGCCAGCTTTGTGCACAGGCAACGGTGAGTCAATAATTTTTGATCTGAAGATTTCCATACGTTGCTCCAGTGTTGCATTGTCGCTAAAGCCTATTGTAAAAAATGGGTTTAGCCTTAGGTGTCGTTCAGTATAAATATCATATTTCACTGAGTGTGTTTTGCTGGGAGAGAAAGCGATTTTTCCCCTAGCGAAAAAAGATTTCCGCTATAAAAACGGAGAAGCCGCTATCTGTCCTAGCGAATAGTAACATCATCAGAATCTACTAGTCGTACACTGCCTCGATTTAGGATACAAAAAGAAGAAAACCTTTCCATTCTTTTTACTAGCACCAACCTTCTGGCCTTGTCTTTATTTTCATCATTTTGCAGTGCTGATCGTTTGACTCCCACCTATAATTCGCTCTAGCTGTGCTATGCCTGAGCGAAGGAGTGTAGGAGCTTGAGAAGGGCGCCCCATGGTGAAGAACTTCATTTTTGTAAATTTTTAATTATTCTGTTTTGCTGTACGACAAGAAGTAGATTTCGACTCCTGTATGAATAGTGTTTTCTCTTTCCCGTCTTCACATAACAATCGAAGTGAAAATTGTTGTTGTAACTTTAGGATTTTATCGGCTTTTCTGATAATATTACCCATTGGTTGTCATACAGGTTTACTGTAATGGACGCGCTGTTGGCTATTCTGTTATGACGTCTTTCAAGCCACCGCCGGAAGAAGGAGACAGATCAAGAAACACTCTCATACAGTCGTGGGGCGAATGGCTAACTCTTCCAGTGAGGTACGTTTCTTAAGTAGACAGGTTCTGGGAATTCCACGGCAGTTAACTTAAGACGTGTCCAACAGTGAATTGTTGGAAGTTTTCGATTTTGGGATTAGGAGTGTGCATCAATCCACCTTGAAATTTGTTGAGCAATATCGGCGTTTGGGAGTAATTGTCTGCTATGAATGCTCTAGTTCATTTATTTCTCTTTACAGGTATTGTGATCTCAGTCGCGACGCATTCATACATTTCTCGATCTGGGAACTGACATCTGGAACAGAATCGCTGAGTTTGTTTCCACACGAGGAGAAGAGAGTCTCGACCGAGGGCGTACCGCAGCCATTGCCAAAGCGACTCATTGCGCAGTCATCCTTACCATTGTTTAGTAAGAGAGGAGTGCTCAAGTCAGGAACGCTAGATGTTCAGGTAAGCTGTTTCGACACAATTCTAATCCGTCTAGTATGTCTTGCTTTCTCCTTTCGGGAGGTGCAGGTGCTGCACACTAATTTTCAACTTATATGATGATGAATGATGTCATGTGATCAATTTTCCGATTTTCCAGAGTACTGAAAATTTTAAGCCTTCAAGAAATCCAGTTAGAATTCATATTTTGTCCAGTAGTCTGCTGTATGCTTTTCATTGCGAATTTCAACTCTTTCATTCTTGGTTGATCGTGACTTTAACTGCAATTAGAACTCAAGTTTTACAATTGTGGCCATTTGAATTCAGTGCCGTTGTACTAGTGAAGGTAGAGTGTTTTCAGATGGAATTGTCGGAAGAGTTGGACCCATTCCATCGATGTGCGGAACAGTGGAAGTGCCCCGATCCAAATGATAGCCATTTAAGGGAACTGTTAAAACAGGTACCGTTTGAAGCTGTTTCGAGATCATTTGTGTAAATTCAACGCAAGGTCGCCCTCGCATAAAAGCCGTAGGCTAGTACGGTGGTTGCAACGAAGTGTCAGCAGACTGATCATTCTTTTGTAGCAGTGGGGCTTTTATTCGCGATCACTAATTCTTTGAATAACTTGCGTTTTAAAACGTCCAATGAAGGTGGTACCATTCGCGGTGATGTTTGGTTGTATAACTTACACATGGTATGTGGTCCAATGGACATTGGCGCTAACTAGGTTTATGGATAGCTCAGCTAGTTTCAGGCCGATCCCTGATGCGTACTGCTACTTCGCAGGACTCGTTTCTCTATGTATATAGCTGTGACCTTTACTGCCAATTTACAGGTTTTTGTTGATATCACAGTCTTTTACTAACTGACCGGCATCAAGGCCATGCATGATTTAGGTAAAAATATGTGACTTCGAAGGGAAGTATCGCGATCCACACAAATCCGCAATTGGATAGCTGCGCCAGTCTTTGTCACAGCAACGGTGAGTCAATTACCTTTTGATCTGAAGATTGCCCATGCGTTGCTCATGTTGCCTTTGGTCGCCTTAAAAAAAGCCTATTGGTAAAAAAAAATGGGGGGTTTAGCGGCTTTAGGTGTCGTTCAGTATAATATCATTTCACTGAGTGTGTTTTGCTGGGAGAGAAAGCGATTTTTCCCCTAGCGAAAAAAGATTTCCGCTATAAAAACGGAGAAGCCGCTATCTGTCCTAGCGAATAGTAACATCATCAGAATCTACTAGTCGTACACTGCCTCGATTTAGGATACAATAAGAAGAATAATTTCGCATTCTTATTAATAGCACCACCTCTGGCCATTTCTTTATTTTCATCATATTTGCGTGCTGATCGTTTGACTCGCCACCTATAAGTCGCTCTAGCTGTTCTATTGGCTAAGAGCTGATCGGATGTACGGGAGCTTGAACGGGGGCTCCTCATAGTGAAGAACTTCATTTTTGTAAATTTTTAATTATTCTGTTTTGCTGTACGACAAGAAGTAGATTTCGACTCCTGTATGAATAGTGTTTTCTCTTTCCCGTCTTCACATAACAATCGAAAGTGAAAATTGTTGTTGTAACTTTAGGATTTTATCGGCTTTTCTGATAATATTACCCATTGTTGTCATACAGGTTTACTGTAATGGACGCGCTGTTGGCTATTCTGTTATGACGTCTTTCAAGCCACCGCCGGAAGAAGGAGACAGATCAAGAAACACTCTCATACAGTCGTGGGGCGAATGGCTAACTCTTCCAGTGAGGTACGTTTCTTAAGTATTCAGGTTCTGGGAATTCACGCAGTACTTAAGACGTGTCCAGCAGTGTATTGTTGGAAGTTTTCGATTTTGGGATTAGAGTGTGCATCAATCCACCTTGAAATTTGTTGAGCAATATCGGCGTTTAGGGAGTAATTGTCTGCTATGAATGCTCTAGTTCATTTATTTCTCTTTACAGGTATTGTGATCTCAGTCGCGACGCATTCATACATTTCTCGATCTGGGAACTGACATCTGGAACAGAATCGCTGAGTTTGTTTCCACACGAGGAGAAGAGAGTCTCGACCGAGGGGGTTACCGCAGCCATTGCCAAAGCGACTCATTGCGCAGTCATCCTTACCATTGTTTAGTAAGAGAGGAGTGCTCAAGTCAGGAACGCTAGATGTTCAGGTAAGCTGTTTCGACACAATTCTAATCCGTCTAGTATGCCTTGCTTACTCCTTTCGGGAGGTGCAGGTGCTGGCACGTCTAATTTTCAACTTATATGATGTTGAATGATGTCATGTGATCAATTTTCCGATTTTCCAGAGTACTGAAAATTTTAAGCCTTTAAGAAATCCAGTTAGAATTCATATTTTGTCCAGTAGTCTGCTGTATGCTTTTCATTGCGAATTTCAACTCTTTCATTCTTGGTTGATCGTGACTTTAACTGCAATTAGAACTCAAGTTTTACAATTGTGGCCATTTGAATTCAGTGCCGTTGTACTAGTGAAGGTAGAGTGTTTTCAGATGGAATTGTCGGAAGAGTTGGACCCATTCCATCGATGTGCGGAACAGTGGAAGTGCCCCGATCCAAATGATAGCCATTTAAGGGAACTTTTAAAACAGGTACCGTTTGAAGCTGTCTCAAGACCTTTGAGTAAAATTCATGCGCAAGGTCGTTGCTCGCCATGAAAAGCCGTAGGCTAAAGTAGGTGGTTGCAACAAGTGTTCAGCAACTGATCATTTCTTTTGTAGCAGTGGGCTTTATTCGCGATCACTAGTTCTTTGAATAACTTGCGTTTTAATATAAACATCCAATGAAGGTGGTACATTCGCGGTGATGGTTTGGTTGGTATAACAATGGTATAGTGTGTCCAAATGTAAATTGCCCAAAGAGCAATTAGCGAGGTTCGTAAATCATAAGCTGTAGCAAATTTATAGTACATGCGAATTAGAAAAGGGGGCTATTTTTCGACACATTTTTTTGTTTGCCCAATCTTAGGATTTAAAATGTTTATGTCCAGGTCAGTGGTGAAACTTCGAAGTGTTCCTTTCCTCTCTGAATGGAACATATTTGCTAGAGCCGTGAAAGAGTGAGACGGTTCTCTGGTTATCACATGAAGCAGGGTCGTCCACGCGTCCGCAGTAGCAGTTCATATGGACTGGTCTATGTCTGCAGATCCTGGCGCTATTCTGCCTTGATATGATCCTAAACTGAAGGTAAGCGTTCTCCATTCAATTTTCGTTTCGTAGGTCTAACCTTCGAGACCAGCTGCTTCTCAGTTTTCCATATAATCTTGTTTTTCGGAAGTGTCGAACCCTGGAGCTTCACAAGACCTAAATCAATCACGTACGCATTTAATCCAATAAATATTTAAGTTAGATTCTTCCCGCTAGGTATCAAACGCCAACTACGGGAATTGGGGTTGCGGAATACATTGGTTGGATGTCCGTTCATTTTAAGATAAGGTGGAGGAGCTTCGCAACAATGTTAGTTTTCAGCGATGTTTTATGATGATCACGCATCCAGTTTTTTTTTGTTTGAAGCTCATTTGTTTTAGCGGAAATTCGCTTCGACTCAACGCTACCTTTTCCTTGTGTTCAAAATGGCGTCTATCCAATACGATCGGCAGTATTATGATGTGGTGTACTACGAGGATCCAACTCCAGACGTGAGAATAAAAGTTTTCCTCGTTTCTGAACATTTTTTCTGGTCATCACATTTTTTTGTATGAAGAGCGCAGCGAAATGAACAGTGTGATCTTCGTGGTCGCGATGCTATTTGTGGCCGCGATTTTGCGACTCGAAAGTACTGCTCAGTGAGCAAGAGCGAGTTGCGAGCTGTTCTGTGAGCTCGTGTTCTTTATTACGGTTTCAGCTGAGAATCGTGACGTCGATTGGTGGAGGCGGCGTGAGTGCGACATTCCGGGTATCCGATCCTGAGCTGGGATTGGAAAATCTGGCGGAGACGAAACACAACGTGATGACAAGAAATGCTCGAGCGGGAGCTATGGACAAGCAGTTGAAACCAAATAAGCAAACAAAGGATCGTCTTGAGACAATCATCCGGGTAATTTCTTCCGCTATTTCCTTATTACGGGTCAAGTAGCATGTTCTTATCTTCTTAAATATGGCCGTGACCTTTTTCTCAACGTTAACATTCCAGCTGCCATCATCTCAGTCCCTTACCCGAGAACAACGAGATTTGGTGTGGAAGTTCCGCTATTTCCTGCAAGCTGATCGTCGAGCTTTGAATAAGTTTCTCCGTTCGGTGAATTGGGATCAACCCGGTGAAGAACAACATGCACTCGCCCTACTGAAGTGAGTTACTCCCGTCGTTGTAGGTAAAATTGCAGTATTACAAAGCGAAAGCAACCGTTCATTTCCAGTGACTGGACCCCGATTGAAGCTGAAGATGCTCTGGAACTTCTATCCCCAGCGTTCACTCATCCAAGCGTCAGGTATGGCCTGAATCAACAGAAGAGTCTCTTAGCTATTCTAAATTGGTTATTTTAAAGGTGCTATGCAGTGTCGAGGTTGTTCGACGCGGCTTCTCCTGACCAAGTATTGCTATACCTGCCGCAGTTGGTTCAGGCGCTCAAATACGAACCGCTCCCTACAACTGATGCTGCTATTGTTGAACAGGTACAGGATGCTTTCATTCAGATTATAATATTATGCAAAGCGAGCTAGTTGCTGCTGTCGCTATTTTACGGTTAGTCAACCATATTGGCGCGAAGTGCTGAGCCATGTGGGTACCATATAAAGCTGGGGGAGCTAGAAAAGGATAGATAAGCGAAAGTTGACCTGGATTCTAGCTTTGTTGGGTTCGACATTCCTTTGATCAGCTATTACTTGAATACTCTTTGTTCTTTTCTTAACGATAACGAGAGGAGAAGGAGAATGTCAAATGAGTGTCAGACTTCGCGATTGCAATCGCGTTCACAATCACGAGCGGTTAGGGGAGGCACCAGAATAAAGAGTTGTGTGTTATCAATCCGTATTGTTTGCTCTGGGTGCCACTTTCCCACCAACCATTCTGGCGGGTTCCAGAAGTACGCCTCCCCCCCCGCGGTCGCGGGGGGCCGAGCGCGATGCAGATGCGAAGTCTGACAAAACCTCAGTTGCCGTTCCGCGTTTGACGGCCGCCGTTGTGTGCGCATCTACGCACTGTTCACACTTCTTGCTGGTGATGTATATAAGCAGCTTCAAAACATGCAAGAAATGGGTGCACAACCATACAAAATAAGTTCATCCGTTTAAAACTGTGCATGTGTCCTGCGCAGTCGTCAACGTGTCAAATCAGCGATTTGGTCGTCACTTATTCAACTCCTTCAAACTGATAAGAATACCCAAACCACGTAGGAAAATTCTGTCGTGTATTTCAATCAGTAGTAATTCACTTAAAAATTGAAGTCGGGCTCCATCTCTTCCATTTTATTGTTTCTGAGACCAAAAGGTATAGGGATCAGCGCATGACGGCGTTGCCGTCATTCAGCCGAGTACCCCCGATACTCGCAACAGCGTCGCGACCTTCTAAGTTGTAAATGGTGATTGTGATCTAATTTCTACGTGATCAGTATAACCATATTCAGAATTCTAGAGCATATTCGCAGTGAATGGCAACGGAGGGACCTCATGGGCGACAATTTCGGGAGTCGTACTATAAACACTGAAGTCTTAACAGCACGCCTGGCGCAGGGCTTCATAATACCGACATCAAAGTGTGTTACCGGTCCGGGGATCAAATCCTGGGTCGTGAGTCGCCCGGGCCAACCAAGCCTTCCATCCCTCCGGGGTCGGTTAATTGGTACCAGACTTGTCTGGGAGGATAAAAACACTGACTTGTACATCGGCTGGCCCCCGCAAGTCATTGTATAGGCCACATCGCATTCAAACGCCACTGCGAATGTACAAATGGAAGTAGAATGCGTGCCGCATCCCAAAAAGGGATTGATCAACGGCAAATGCTTTATCCTTTTTTTTATCCTTCGGGGTGCCGGTGTACGCTAAGAGGAATTGAATGTGCGGTTGGAAGGGCCAACCCAATTCAAAATTACCTTAGCGATGGTGAGTGGTACACTAAAGAAGGAAACCATGAGAAACGGCCCAGAACCCGAGAAATGGGACCCCTTCCCCGTTGATTTGAGCATTGATGCGACTCTCATCGCTGTGCCCTCTTCAACACTACGCTCTCTCACCTATCTAATCACTCGCCACGTATAGACCTGCGGCGAGTGATCAGATGATCGGTGGGCGTGCACTGGCCACCGCGATTGAGCCTTAATAGGTCGCCGAGGTCAACTCCTTCGGTGCCAATTGCGCTTCAGTCCGCACCCTTAGGAGGTCCGCGGGCTCCAAACTAGGGTGAATTTCTCGTGTTTTTCGACTTCGTTTAATCGTTGGATTCGTTCTTTAAGGGTCCTTAGAAGACGGAACAAATTGTAACATGAGTTAAGAATACAAGACTCCTTCCTGTAACCTACATAGTTCCTCAAAGAATCTAGTTTCACAAAGAGAGCCAATTTCCTAAAACGTTCATGTCCACCATGGGAGAGGGGTCGTCTCAGAAGAGGCACGATGCAAAAAGTAGTTAGACTGATTTTCCTAAATAGTTCAGATGGAATCGTGTTCTAATTCGCAGGCGACGGAAGCGACAGAGGTGGTTGTGCTCGAAGAGGACGAGATTGCTGCGCGCACCACCGATGATCTAGCGTCATTCCTAGTCAAGTGAGTCTTTGACGGTTTTTGAATAGAATTGCATCAAGGAAATGGCTGCTCAGTTCCCCAGCCAATTTTCTCCATTCTAAAATGGTACTCCTGGAGTTCTTTTTTGGGCAGTGAAAGGTGTTCGAGGGAACGTCGTAGTGGCTGGACTGTAGCTCATCAAAATAGCAGACAATCGATCTACTAAGGCATGTGATGAACTAAATAACTAGCATAACCCTCGGTAAGGGCTCTTGTGGTTTAGCTGGGTTGGGCTTCGTCTGTAACGAAATATTGTGAGTCTAGCAGTGAGACGTCAATATGGCCATTGGTGACTGGGTAAGTTTGTGGTATCCAGGAGAGTGGTTCCCTTACGGAACTATGCATTACAATAAGCTCAATGAGCAGCTCTGCGATACTCTAATCATGCTATCGATTAGCTCCTTCCCAACTTTTATATACGCAACCCTTTCTGATCTAGTTCATGTACGCGACTTGAGGAGCAACTTCGATAATCTATTCATTGCCAGATATGCAACTGGATATCCAAAGGTGGCAAATTTTCTGTTTTGGCACTTGAAAGTTGAAGCGGAAGCAACTCGTAAAACCGATGAGGCTTTATCATCGGTACGTTTCATTCTTCTTCTTCTTGAACAAAAGATAGGTGTGGTAGACCGTTGTCCGTGAAACGAAGCTTAGTCCTTTGTGATACTATAGTTGATCTCTTAAGAGGTCGATGTGGTGAGTGACGATTACAAGTGGTTGTCCTTCTCTTTCTCTGCATTGTGATATTCTCGTACTGCTAAAGGATCTAAGTCAGCTTCTCAGATATCTGTTAGAACAATAGCGCGTGGAATCGTTTTTCGTCCATAGCATCAGTTGAGAGAAAGTAGTTACGAATTGACAGACATGTTACGAGGCGTGGAGAGTAGATTGGCTCCGTGGAGTGGCGTTTTTGGGCGGGCACGACTCAATACGCACGTTTGAAGCATGGGTGGTCCGCCCGTTACAAGTTCATGGCAACCAGGTTTCACAAATTTACGCTAGAGGACCGTCTCCCATGTAACCTCTTCAGCAATACTTTTGAAGAAATTCTTTCGATCACTATTCATTCTTCTTCTGAATTTCTGTAAAGGTTGAATGATATGTTAAGGTATACGAACGGTTACTCAGTCGCTCTTATGCAGACTTTGCAACGTGGTACACCGGAGATGAAAAGGCAGGCGGAGAGTCTGAGGATGCAGAGGGTATGTTTCTTCCAAGTGCGTTGAATCACTATAAACTGCGAGTGAGCTGACCGAAGTTTTCTGCGAGGCTTGGTATTCAACTTTGTGTCGTCGCGTAGCATTGGGAAAATCCTTCGAGTTCCATCCGATTTTTCAACTTCTGATATATTCATATTGATACTTACAAATTACCTGTTGATCTTTGATGTCTCCATGACTTTCTTACAGCTACAGATCAATTATCTTATTTTCACTTTAGCAAGGTCGTACGAAGATCTAACAGAAATTAACTTGATTGCCCAACACGAAGGGCGCGGACAAATAAAGCATAGTCGTACTGTGATCTACGTCATAGCCTGCATTGTGCACACATTCGTTGAAAACAATGCTCGACAGTATGAAAAGCAAGTGCTGCGTTCGAGGGCCTGCATCTAACCACTTGATCCGAGATGTAAGGTGAGTAGAGTCAAGAAGAGTTCTGGCCAACAATATCTTGGACCGCTAAAGTGTCAAGACTGAATACTTTTTCATCAGTGGCACGCTGTTCACAGAAAGCCAGTCGGCTACCGACTGACTACTTCTGGCTTAATGTTAGCATTTTTCTTCAAGGTATATAAAGGCGCACTCCAGGGCAAAGCTAATTGTTGCGCTCGAAAAAAATAGATGTGCGAACTTGTGAAAAATTATGAAGCCAACCACGCATAACCTAAAAATATAGTCCTTCTATTCCGAGCTGTGGAGGCTCTTGAGAAGCAAGCAGCCTGATAAGGCGGAGAGGAAATAGGCTTGTGACAAGAAAGCTGGAAACGAGGGACAACATTTCGCCTATAACCTCAATTCATGGGCGTAACCTCGGGTGCTGGGTAGGGTCTATGTGCATACTAAAGCATCAGTGCTTCCCTGGCAATTTCGTGCTGCGAGGTCGTGCGACCCGTATGCTTGCTGATCCCTCTGCCTTCTTCGCGCTTGAACTTCATTGATCTAATCTTCTCTACAGAATTTTAGGATTCAGCAAATTCTTTGAAACACTCGCTCAGGACCGTCAGAAGAGATCAAGGGGTTTACAACATTCCCATGTATTATATGTCCTATAAGGGAACATTTCAACTCTTACAGTTGTTTACAATAGTATTGCAAGTTGCACTGCATCATTAGTGCATGGTGAACGAGTGAGGATTGACGGTGGAAGCACTGACAGCAAATGCTCATTTATCTTTTTAACAGTTTTTTTTTTCAGGCTAGCCGGTGTGATGCCAGACTCGGCTGTACTATTCAATAGTGCCATGATGCCTGTTAAATTGACTTTCAAAACGATAACTGGTACGGACACCAATAAGGAGTACACTCTTATTTTTAAGCAGGGTGATGATCTGCGGTGAGTTGAGCAAATCTGGTTCTAGTGTGTTATTTTTTTTGATAGTTGGTCATCCTAAATTGTTTGTCTTAGTTGTTCATGCTTGTAACATAGGTTGTCTGCATTTTTTTGGCGCAACGTGACAAGTCGCAATATGAAGAATGATCGGTAGAATGACTTGTAGCAGAATAACAGTCCAGCGAATTTCAAATTTGCTTTGCACAATATTTGGCAGATAACTTTAACCATAGTGCTTCTCAAGTTAATAACTGAACTCAATTTATAGGCAAGATCAGCTGGTTATACAAATGTTTCGCCTCATGGACAGCCTCTTCAAGAAGGATCAACTCGACCTAAAATTGACCCCTTATGCAGTAAGTTTCCATCACTTGTGACAACTTACTTCCACTCCTCTGCAGTCCTATCTGAACCATGTTTGTTAATATTTCGGCTCTCTTCACTATAAGCAAATCGCCTTACAAATCACCTGTAATGAATGTTGCATCTCAGCCTTTTCTTTGAGAAGTACAGGTATACTGGTCATGGCTATATATAGCTTTAATATCATTGCAACGATGCTGAGTTATGAGAAAAAGGTTCCCCTAACCGAGCATCGAAGCTGGAATATGTACTTCCCAGGATCGCGAACAGCTGGCTGTATCTTTATAGGATATAGGATATTTAGAATCAGTCTTTCATCCACCTTTTCTTCCTATCGCTTTTGTAAATTTTTTGAATGAAATGGTTATTCTTAGGTGCTGTCAACTGGTGTCAATGAGGGATTCGTGCAGTTTGTTAAGGCAAAACCGCTTCGAGAAATCATCAACACTTATAAGCGATATAATACAGATAGCATAAAGGTTTGGTAGTCACATCAGTATGCTCTAGA